ACTACCATTAAGTACATCTACCTCGTCCCACCTAAAAGACCGGACCACCTCAGACTTCACCCATGAGTTGAATCATGTCAAGTCCAACCGTCCAGAGAACCCCCTTTTGGCGCGCCGAGGCGCAAATTCCTCCTCAGCCTCGGCCACCACGCGCCCGAGCCCTTGACACCTTCGCCATCTGTGATCTTTCCCTTTCATTCATTCCCAGCTTTGGCTCACCCCAGCATCTCCTCATCCCATCCAGGGGCCGTTTTCTTGATTGGAAGCCTCATCCAGTCGCCCACCAAGGCCTTCTCAGTTTGTATTCCCTTTTGGTTCCTTCAAACAGCATCCCTCTATCCTTCAGCCGATCTCGACATCCCAGAAACTTTGTAGAATGTCTACCCCTCCGGCCTTTCCCCGTCGCTGCCGTACCCCTAACCGTGGAGGTCGTAAACGCGACTGATAGCTCAAGACTGAGGCACCGATGCCCCAGCCTTTGTCGAATGCTCTAGTTGGTGTGCCGACGAAATGTCGTACATGCTTCGTCGGTGGCGATTCGTCGCAGGTCGAGTTGTTGGTGCCCTTGGCCGAGGCGAGGACGCATTCAAGGCCAGTATTTCGACCGTTCCTTCACAGTGACTGGCAGTTGCGGAGGTTCGGACATCCTCTTGCTTCTTTGATGGCGATTTGGCTTTTGGAGGTGTGGGATTGCTTCGGTAGGTGGTGAGATGGCTGTGGAGAGGGCCACGAGATGAGTTTGGCTGGGAATAATTTTTCAGAGAAAAAGAAAAAAAGATCATGAAGGTGTCGGTTTTTGTAATACGAAAATCAGACAGGTTATAGCCTGTCTGCGGTTTGTATCTGGGGTGTACATGGTTGATTTCGTCGAGTTATGTAGTCGCGAAATCTCTGCACGTCTGATTTTCGACCAAAAATGAGCCGACACCACTCCTCCCGATCGCCAACTCGTCGAAAACTCTCAAATTCACCCTTTGCCACGACTGAATCTCGGCTCTGGGGGAATATTTCGCTCTCATATTCGTAGAGGATACCACTGACCGGGATTCAGCCTTCGTCCTCCTCCCCCTTGCGGGTACACTTAGCATTATAATTTTACAGTGAAAAATAGCTGATGATTAGTGAGGCAAGAGGGATAAAGCTGTTTACTTAATGTATTTATGTAATAAGACATATTTTTTTTGCATTAGATTTTAATTGCGTACACAGCCATCTAGCTATGACACAATATCAGAGAAGAAGTACAGACCAGAAGACGAAATGTAAAATTAGAGCACTCATGCTTCGGATTTCATTCGCAAGCAGCACAGCGAAGTTACGGTGGCTTTTTCTTCATCTCAAGTGAACCTTCATCTATGAATACTCACCCACGGAAAAGTTTCACGGATCAGTAAATCTAGAACTAAAGGCTAAAATATCATGAACCAAATGGGCGTTGGATTGTAGCAGATAAAGTCGTCTTGGCTTATTCAGGAACTACTAAAAAGAGTCAAGAGGAGAATGAATAGCACAGTATCATTAATGCGAGGAAATGGGCAGGTATCACTCATGTTTAATCCAGGCTTTCAAATGCTTCTATCTCTGTATATAATGGGTCATCGTGTAAGAGATTTTCTTTTCACGCAATGTCTTCTTTGCTTACCTTTCACAATGCTTTTATTTACTTATCTCTTCTACGGGAAGACCATATATCCATTGCCCAGTTCTTCATCAGCAAGACCCACGTGTAAGATCCACTGCGAATAGTTGCCTATTCTTTTTAGGGTTTCATAGAATGTGTATTCAGCTATAGAGCTATGACACATGACCGGTACTATGTATACATGTGGGATGACTCTTTTGACGTTAGAGACACTCATACACTGGATTTCATTTGCAAATACCACTTCGAGGTATGCTTGCTTACACAAATAGTCGACCCTCCTCCGTAAGTACCCACCAAAGGGAATTTCGAAACCTTTGATTATCCAAGCATGCCTTCGTCATCCATGCATACCAGTACCGCGAGAAATGTGGTTGTGATTTGCTGGATTTGAGCCAGCGATCTACTGTCTCGAGGGGGATATGTGTCCAAGCTATCCAGACTCTACTTGGCAGACCGGCCAAGACGATGTACCACCGCACCATCCAACCATGGCAGTTTTAATAGTGTCGCCTGCAGTCTCGCAACCGAATTCTTGGTACGCACAAAGCTCAATTTGTAAAAACCCCTTGCCAAGATTCGAAATTTCACGCCCGTCGAGACTGTATCCACCCTTTGCATCATCTTATCAACTTGGCCTGATCCCTCTAACATCCATCCCAAAAAACAGACTTCCAGATTTGTGCGCCACGCTTTGTTTCCTCTATCGGGTGTAAGTATCGGCGTGGGCGTGTATCTGGCGACCAGCTGAGGCCAGAGAAAGTCGATAGGAGGTGTGTTCATTGGAATGAGGATGTACTAGGTCGCACTTGTAGACTTGATGAGGTCTAGATAGGAATCGATCTCATTGGAAGTAAAAATTTGACATGGTGTTCTTTGGTGTAGTTTGAGCAGCCTGGACATCAGCTCCACCTAGGAAGGAGACGCCTTAGACCAAGTTCCGCGCGGAGTCAAGTCAATGGATGGAGGCATGTATGGATGACTCAGGATTTTTGAGACATTTCCCTTGGTGGGTATTCTCGGGTGAGGGTTGACTTTGTGTGAAGAGAAGGCCGTCATAACTTCGCAGTGCTACTTGCAAATGAGATCCGAGGCATGAGTGCTCTTCCTTTAAATTAATTTCTCAATCTTGTACTTTATCTCTAAGATTTTGTCATGGTCAGATAGCTGCACACACAACCAAACACTGATTTAAATAAAGAGGTGACTGGACCTCTACACCGACATCGCTGGAAGTTGGAGATCTCGTCCATATAGGCCCCTTCTTTATTGAGTATCGATTGTTCGGATAGTATGGTGTCTTTTGGAGTACGCTACGCCTAACATGTCTTTTAGATGCTGTTATGTGTCTTGCACGTTGGAAATATCAAATCAAATCAACGAAGGACCCCAAACGTACCGAGATACTAGCTGCATGTCATAGTTAGCTAGTCGAATACATGTAGAGTAAATTTCCTTTCAACAAACAACGGGCGTCTGTATGTCTGACTGCTGAGTTATTTGTGTTTGTTAATCATTAATTTTTTTGATAATTATATATTTTGATGTCACAGGGAACGATTGGATCTAATCAAGGGGTGTCTAATGTAGGTACATGTGAATGATTTCTATTTTTTATCTATGTAGGGAAATGGTAATGTTTTGGCTAAATGATTACGTACTTAAAGTTAGAATCATACCTGATTACTCCAGCTCTAAAGATGTTGTCCAAACAAAATGAATATCTAAAGAGAAGTAGGTCATTTTTTACATACGGGCCGGTGGTGTCTATACCTCCTTCGCGACTTTTTTCCAGTGATAATACACCCACAGGCCTTCATTTGAGTACACACTAAAAGGCGTCATTATCCTGCCGTTATCTCCACTGTCCAGCTAACTAGCCGATTACTATTTGCAGGTGTTTAGCTGCAGGGAAAATCATCACAAATCCTTGAGTGCAGGGCTTTTCTAGTACCGACATCAGGACAAAGTCCGAAGACGTGGCTACCCTTCTGAAGTGTTGAAAGATACCGGCCAGCTGGCTCTAGTAGACCTGTGTACACCTAAGAGAGTCTCTCTCACTTCCTAGTTTCCTCTTTACTCTCGCTGATTCGTGCCTTGGGACATACCCAAGGTGGTGGAAGCATTTCAGAAAAAGTCTTGGTTGAGAGCTATTGCCGTGAGGCAGCCTAGACTTGTATCCAAAAGTCGTCACGGACGTTGTGTTGTTGAATATCTTGTGTAGTCAGGATGCCCTGTTGGCCAGTTCCTTCGAAAGTCAGACAGGAAGACTCGAAGTTATCGATAAGCCAAAATCAACTTTTCTGGAGGGTTGAAGGGTCCTTTATTTTGCTTTCGTAATCTTCGATTTGCCCGTCGACGGGAAGAGTATTTTGGGATTTGTCAAGGTCTTCTACTACTACCGCTTTTGCATGGGGTACGGCAATATTTCAGCTCTTTACAGAAGTTGATTTGGGGGCCACCTGATTGCTGATTAATCTGCTGGAACTTTAGCCTTTGGTTTCTTTATCGATAAGCGCCCGTGGCGGATAATGTTATGACGTACAAGGAGAGAAGCGCCGATGTCACCCCTTCAGGCCATTTGTGCTGTGCGGGTCTTCAAGGGGTTCAGCAGGGAAGCTGAAGAGTTCGGAAATGAGTCAGACCTGAACTCAGGGAGATGGTGGCAATGCGCTCCGAAGCCCAGTGTAAGCTTTCTTCTTGAGATATGCAGGGTAAAAGAAAGTCGACAATCACCTTGTTGTGGCATGATCCACGACTGCAGCAAATTTCCTATCTTAGCCTGATGACTTGGAGTCACATGGCCCATGTAAAAGTTCTTCTTCCCCTTTGTTGCCATAACGATAGAGTCGGCAAAACTGTTGTCTGTAGATATTACTCGTGCGCACTGCTGATTATGGACCACCGGTAGCGGCTGAGGGTAAACAAGGGCGCAGCTTCTGACCCCTATGATGCCACAAGACGCTTGGCCATGCACTTCGTGAGGGCATTTAGTTTCCACAACTTTGTACTGCAGCCAGAGAGGTAAGAGGTCGTGTGGATTCTTTGAACCTCGGAATGCCTAACCATGATGTAGCCTTCTAATTTTGCCGCCAGTGCACGAGAGTGGAACCGCGCCTGATCTGCTTACTTTGACTTTATCTTTAGCGTTGTACTATCTGATAGCTCATTCCATGAAGATCACGGGTTAACTAACTTAGTCCGGAATGGAAACCCGATGTGCCGGTAGCCAAAGGATCAAAACCTAAACCGATAAGCATAGTCTTCCCCATAGCCGCGCAAAAAGGCCCAAGACTCAGCATACATTGCCACTGTGTTCGACACTCTGAGATTCTCAGCTAGCAAAATTTCGTAGGGGTCACGGATGATAGGTTATATCAGTAAAACGGTATATGGATAAGACTGGTGGTCTACGACTGTCCTGTGCTTCACTGTCGGCGATACTATATGCGCGATAGAAAGCTATGTAGACTTGTCGTTTTTTCCTCCCCCTTTCTAAGCTACTGCCTCGTGCTCTATTAGTACCTACTACTCGTTCCTGATCGATACCATCAATATGCTGGCGCTCGATCCTCAGTTTACGTTCGCGCCGCCTTTGCCACTGGCTACCACTATATTTGTTCCCATGTGTCTCTCTCCACCGTATCCCGCTCATGCACACTCTTGGTGTCGTTAGTTTATGCCCGGACTTTATCCGTCATCGTTGCACTAGGCGCACGGACGATTCATGATTTCGGGGCCTGGAACCTCAGCTCTACCTGCAGATTCTCCCGTCCCGTGGACGGAATGGACGTACATTCTTTCGCAGTGGTAACTTCAAATGAAATCCGAGGCATATTTGCTCTTGATTTGCTCGGCAAAGACGAATTCTTCTCCTTTCAGTGGTGCCGGTGTAATCGCTCAGTATGCTCTGCATATCTGGGATATCCAAGAAGAGTCGCACCCGAATCGAAGTCGAAAGCAACCTCAAGCATATCTAAGATCGACGACTTCTCGACAAATGTTTAATCTATCAATCTCACGCAAGTCTTTTACCTCAATCTTACTACACCACCTCGCCTCAAATATCGATAATGGCGTTACTCCAATTGCAATAGGACATTTGCCTCATCAAAAACCGGCCATCTCCCGCTACAAAATTACGATGTTATGTATACTCGCGAGGAGGAAATTAAGTCATAATCTACAAAGCTCGCGTCTTGGTCTATGGGGGGCCGTTGCTCTAATAGGGCTTCAAATCTTGAGGGAGGACAGGCAGCTGGGACGTGGGACGAACGAGTGAAGAGGTCATAAATGGGCATGTTGGGACGTACATTTTTCGAGTGTCTTCGACTTAAGGTTGTCTATAGGTGCAGAAGCGACGATTTTGGATAGTGCAACCGACACTTTAAAAATAGGCAACTATGGAAGGTGTTGTGGTCCGTCTCCTGGTCGTCATTTCCCCGAATTTACGTCTGGGTAGCCTGGTTACCTACCTCACTCGAGAAAAGGAGGACTGTGAGGCCATATCTCGCGCGGCGGCTATATTAAAGATGACAAAGGCATGTTAGGGTAGCCAAAGGTTTTTCCTATTATCCATTTGGTAGATATTAACGGTTGAGGGAAGGGTGAAAGCCCCTAGCACCAAGGTCCCGAGTGGTATCAGCGAATGCACCCACAACGTGAGCAGTCCAAATGTCAAACTGAGTTATCGTCATATACAGTCACCGGGGAAGGACTTGCCTTCTCCATGTCATGCTCTATGAGTGCCAGGCTTGTGTGCATGGATAAATATTCATTCATTGCTCTTCTTTCAAGTTGAGTCATCTGTTGTGAACCAAACGTCTGATGTGTCGTAGCTAGATAGCTGCATACGCAACTAAAATAAAAAAAAAAGATCTGCATGTACTTGCATGGTCTCAGACTCAATAGGTCAAAAAACGCTCTACCAGCCCTACACTATGAGTTTTCGAACCAGAATTGGACCACAGATTATCCTTGGTCTTAGGATGGGTTATCTCCCTTCCTTGAAATGTATTCCTCCCACAGCAGCTTCAGGAATCACGACAAAATCTATGAAGCTGGAAAACAGATGGCTTTTGCAGGAAAAAGCGCTACAGCGATAGTTACATAGACCCTCATTATATCCCAATATATCCTGCACGCCGACTTCAAAACAAAAAGTCCATGGGATAAAAGCGATAGACCCCTTATGCACTCGAGAACACCAGAATCAGAGTTATCGTGAGGTCCGCCACTACGATTACCTTAAATCTGCTTTTGCCAGCCACGTTAGCCTCCATACCACATGAGCTACTTGGCAACTCCATTCCCGTACCGATTCCCACTGCTAGACTAGAAGCTCATGGTAATCGTTTTCAATTGTCACTTTTCTAACTCTTATTAGTCTTCAATCTTTGCAACGCCACGAATGTAGGGAGTGATCGAGGAACCCAGGAATGAAGTGAGTGTCGTGCCGGAGATAGTCAATATCACGATGCACATGGGTAATGATCGCCGGGAGTGAAAGAAGAACTTTGCAGTTGGTCCTATGATGAGAAGGCAAATAACATAGCAGTATATTGAAAGTATATTTAGATAATACCATTAGATCGATCTTACAAACATTTCCTTTCAAAATTCTTTAGGAAAGTAAAGCGGAAGCCTAGGAACTGTAAGTGTGCATGTAAGACGCTTTCTATCTCTTTGATCTACAAAGCTCTGGATATAAATAAAATCAGCAGCTCACAATAGATTATCGTTATTCATCCCCAAAATGTCAGCCTATAAATCTTCCGTATGCTCTTACCTTTACATCAAAGAAATTCCCTGAGTTATACTCAGGCCTTGTACACTTGATCATATGAACTCTTTTTAGTACCTCAGAATGGTAGCTTCTTCGGATATCACGAACTGATTATATGAGAGCTATATGAAGCTAGCTCTAAGCACAAATATTGTGTAGCTCCTACTGTATTATTGTTGGGCTCATGGTGTTTGGATAGTTTGGGGGGACTATTCTCAACACCTGTCGGCGGTGTCCCCTACGAACCTCCAGCTCTCACTATAGAGTCTGCAGAGCCGAGATTGAGTAACAAAGTCCTCACTTCGACGAGGATTCCCAATCGCTTTTGCGGTCTGTATCGTCTTCATCTCTCAACACATTCCCCTATCACCATTATCATGAAGCTAACCACGATCAGATCAGATGGTAGGGTCGGAGCCCCTCTCATCACCAACCCTTGATCATAGAGGAGAAGCCATCCGATGAGTTTCCGGGGCGTACCCAGCACCCGATACGGAGATGGTGGTTTGGATCAAGTCGACCTCGGCTATTACAAAGAAGGGAGATATAGATGAATATGCGCACCTCATGTGGACCCGGTGTCTGGGCCTTGCCTGGCTGGGGCTGCAGCTTTTTTGAGACTTTTTCCCGCGCACGCAGTTTCCATTGCTACCATTTTTTTTGGGTAGAAGGTTCCGTGAATAATGTGGCAGAATTTTGATTTTGATGTTGATTGAACTTAACGTCGTTCCTGTCCACAGCTCGTGACTACTCTTACGTACTGGACGGCCCAGTCCCTACAGAATTACCCGACGCTCTAGCGCGCCCTACAGCTCCTAGAAATTACTAAAGAGCCCAACTAGCTGTCCACCATTCCAATGAATAAAACGACCCCTGGATAAGATGAGGAGATGCCGAGATGAGTCAAAGCTGGGAATGAATCGAAGGGAAAGGTTACAGATCGCGGAGACGTCAAGGGCTCGGGCGCGTGGTGGCCGAGGCTGAGGAGGAATTTGCGCTTCGGCGCGCCAAAAGGGGGTTCTCTGGACGGTTGGTTTGACATGATTCAACTCATGGGTGAAGTCTGAGGTGGTCCGGTCATTTAGGTGGGACGAGGTAGATGTACTTAATGGTAGTTAACCTGATCCAGCCCGGCCCCACCCGTGCTTAAGCTCCAGCAGGAGTGCAACGGTAGTCACTTTACTGAGCACGTTAATGAACAAACTAAACCAAACTAGCTATCCGCCACTCTGCTTTCATATTTAAATCTAGCAAATTTCACTATAACAGGAGCTTTATATATGATTCACAAGTAGTTTGAGCTTACTTTCGTAGGCTCTACAATGAATTAATATAACGCTGCGATGGAAGAGACTGTGAGACCTTTCATCCAACATTAGTTCATCACGAGATACCTTCTTTCCCAGGGAAATCCAGTGGACTTGTTGAACTTTATCGTAGAACTTTATCTGATCGACCCATTTTCTGAAGGCAAGGGCGCCCTCGGGCGTTCCAAGTATCCATCTGATGCCAGGGTGGGGATGTTGTGGCCCACCGCGAAGACGGGCACGGTTTCTTCCTATCCTGCAGTAGAAGAAGTGATCTGGGCTTTTTTCTTCGCCACAGGAGCAAGTCGTTAGAGCATCTTCTTGTGCGAAACGACGATGATATTTGGCGAATTCTCAATGTCCGGAACGGGTCGCAATGAACGCCCTAAGTGCACGTCGGTTTAAACCTTTCAGTTCTGGCGTTATTCCTATACTAAGACCAATTCCTAGTTCCTTGATTCTAGCGGGGCCTTCCTGAGCCTAGTAAGGGGTAGTAGAAGCGTTGTACAATAGAGAAATTTCTCTTTTTGCTCGTTCTATGGATAGAGGTAGGAGTGGAGTAGTGTTTAGACGAGCCGACTTCGCTAGAATATCAGCTGCTTCATTTCCAGGGATTCCAGAATGTCCGGGGCACCATTTAACACTGACTGCTCCAGCTCTAGTACAGGATGCCCGTGTCTTATTTTTCCAACTAGCTGCTAGCTGCCGAAATTTTGCAATTTGGCGAGAGTTCGTTGCAGTAGGTGTTAACAAGAGGAGTCGACGAGCAGTTTCTTGGTTATCTTGGTAGATAGTCACGTTGGTTGCGTAAAAGGTCATGGAATTGTGGAGAGCAGCTGCTAGACTCTCTGTTGCTCCAGATATTTCTGCGTCGTATACTTTTGCAGAAGCACCTAGAGGAATGGTATCGCAGGAAATCTCATGGGTTGCGCCGCATTGAACTGAGTATCCGGGTCCTGCTTGATTCTCGATCAGAGTGCCGTTGGAGAAAACAAAGAAATCCAATCATGGATTGTTGGGCGTACCATTGAGTGAAGGAATTGACTCCCGCTATTCGGCCAACAGCGGCTATCTTTTCCAAACATTCATCGTGTCCAACTTTCCAAGGGGGAGGGATGTTATCCTCTGAGAGCTCCGGGGAAATCCTTTCTCGGATCCCGCACATTCTTGAAGAATTCCACCGTCTACGAAGAGGGTGTCTAGGATCTGCTGCCGCAGTGTGTAGGGCGAGGCGATCGTTTATGCGCTCAAGCCAGACTTTTGCGGGCCCCCAACCTGTTTCACGAAGAACAGCTATTGGTGTAGTATTGAATACAGGAAGTGCTGCGCGAGCAGCATCGTTCATCCGTTGTTGGATCTTAAGGACCAGTCCTTTTGGAGTTCCTTTGGAATACCATGTCTCAGCCCAGTAGAGCAAGGTCGCGAAAGCTGCTCCTTGGTGCGCTTGTCTCAAAAGTAGAGGGCTCATTCTTCGGGTGACTCTCGAAAGACTTTTAATTTGGCTTATAACAGCCACGAATCTTCCGCATGCTTGTCTGAAACTTTTTCTAAATCGGAGGCTCC